CTCTACAGATTCCCAAAGGGTTCCAGGGAAACAGCTTTACAGCACTGAGGATTTCCGGAGGGAATAACAGCTCTGCTCATCTCCAGCTAAGTGACTACAGGCCTGCTGGTATGTCTGCTAGGTTCTGAGACACAGTTCAGCTGGTAGTAGACTCAAATCAGTCAGGTTTAGGTTCACAGCAGCCTGGGAGGAGCTAGAAAGGGGAATTTTCCTTTTAACAAAGTTTTTGAAGATAGTGCCTGTTTCCTGTAAACAAGATTGTAAGATATTGTCAAAGGCCTTCATGGCCAGAATCACTGGGTTGTTGTAGATTTTTCCGGGCTATATGGCCATGTTCTGGAGGCAATTTTTTTTCTCCTGATGTTTTGCCTGCATCTATGGCAAGCATCCTCAGAGGTAGTGAGGTCTGTTGGAAGTAGGAAGGAAGCATCAAGGAACATGAAAGGCACTGCAAACTACTCCAACCAGAGAAATCAGCCATAGCAGAGCACCTGATGAACCAATCTGGACACAGCATATCATTTGAGAACACAGAAATGCTGGACCACTCTCACAACCACCATGTCAGACTACACAGAGAAGCCATTGAAATCCACAAGCATGTGGACAATTTCAACAGAAAGGAAGAAACCATGAAGATGAACAAAATCTGGCTACCAGTATTAAAAAACCCAAAAATTACAACAGCAAAACAACAGAGGGGAAACAAACAGGCACATAAAATCACTCTCAACAAAAGATTCCCCCCGGGCACTTCCAAGCCATTGAATGCTAATCGAGGTGATCAGCTGAAACATTCACAGCTAGCTCCTGCAGACAAGAGTCCTTTGCCCCACCCTGGTCATTCCACAGATATATAAGTCCATTTTTCCTACTTCCAACAGACCTCACTACCTCTGAGGATGCTTGCCATAGATGCAGGCAAAACGTCAGGAGAGAATGCCTCTACAACATAGCTATATAGCCTGGAAAAACCTACAACAACCCAAGATTGCAAGAGCTAATAGACTGATAAGAAAGCTTACAATTCCTGTTTGTTCATTAATAAAGAACTGTTATATTTAAGCTCAAGCCTCATAAAGACTGCTTCATAAGGGAAATTTACCTACAGGCTTCTTTTCGGGGGCCCTGGCTTCCCGCTGGATGCAAGCCTAACATCCTCTCTTAAAAACACCTCATTTTGGCTCCAGCAGCGACAGAACACTTTGACTGTGTGGATCATAATAAATTGTGGCAAGTTCTTGGTGGGATGGGCATACCAAGCCCCCTTCCCTCTCTCCTGAGGAATCTGTACAAGGACCAAGGAGCAACAGTCAGAACTGACCATGGAACAGGAGACGGGTTCAAGATTGAGAAAGGCGTACGGCAAGGCTGCATACTCTCACCCAACCTATACAACTTGTATGCAGAACACATCATGCGATGTGCGGGGCTTGACGAATGCAAAGCTGGAGTCAAAATTGCTGGAAGAAACATTAACAACCTCAGATATGCAGATGACACCACTCTGATGGCCGAAAGCGAGGAGGAGCTGAGGAGCCTTCTAATCAAGGTGAAAGAAGAAAGCGCAAAAGCTGGGTTGCAGCTAAACATAAAAAACAAGATTAGTGTGCAGGTACAACTGTACCAGGAGCTCCAATTTTGTTTGCTTTGCATTGAATGTTTGTTTGTAGTCCTAAGTTTCAGGGACTCTGCAGATAGGTGGCTTCTTTTGGCTGCAATCATAGGGCAAGCCACCTGTCAATTATCGTTAAGTTCCCTGGTCCTGCCCCCTTTTGGGTTTTAGAGGGAATAGGAGCCAGTTTGGGTTCAGTCCACACAGAGAAGCCTTTCATGCTGGACATAATACCAAGAGCTCCTGTAGAAAGCTTCGTCTTCTGTGGCTTGGCCGGGGAGATATACAGCCCACA